AACACGCAAGTACATGTATCTAACTCACTTAAAACACGCAAGTACACGTATCTAACTCACTTAAAACACGCAAGTACATGTATCTAACTCACTTAAAACACGCAAGTATATGTATCTAACTCACTTAAAACACACAAGTACATGTATCTAACTCACTTAAAACACACACATACATGTATCTAACTCACTTGAAATACACAAGTACATGTATCTAACTCACTTGAAATACACAAGTACATGTATCTAACTCATTTAAAACACACAAGTACATGTATCTAACTCACTTAAAACACACAAGTACATGTATCTAACTCACTTAAAACACGCAAGTACATGTATCTAACTCACTTAAAACACAAGTACATGTATCTAACTCACTTGAAATACACAAGTACATGTATCTAACTCATTTAAAACACACAAGTATATGTATCTAACTCACATACAAGTACATGTATCTAACTCACTTAAAACACACAAGTACATGTATCTAACTCACTTGAAATACACAAGTACATGTATCTAACTCATTTAAAACACACAAGTACATGTATCTAACTCACTTAAAATACACAAGTACATGCATCTAACTCACTTAAAACACACAAGTACATGTATCTAACTCACTTAAAACACACAAGTATATGTATCTAACTCACATACAAGTACATGTATCTAACTCACTTAAAACACACAAGTACATGTATCTAACTCATTTAAAACACACAAGTACATGTATCTAACTCATTTAAAACACACAAGTACATGTATCTAACTCATTTAAAACGTGTGTTTTAAGTGAGTTAGATACATGTACTTGTGTAAGTACATGTATCTAACTCACTTACAAGTACATGTATCTAACTCACTTAAAACACACAAGTACATGTATCTAACTCACTTGAAATACAAAAGTACATGTATCTAACTCATTTAAAACACACAAGTACATGTATCTAACTCACTTAAAACACACAAGTATATGTATCTAATTCACGTACAAGTACATGTATCTAACTCACTTAAAACACACAAGTACATGTATCTAACTCATTTAAAATACACAAGTACATGCATCTAACTCACTTAAAATACACAAGTACATGTATCTAACTCACTTAAAACAAGCAAGTACATGTATCTAACTCATTTAAAACACACAAGTACATGTATCTAGATACATGTACTTGTGTGTTTTAAGTGAGTTAACTCACTTAAAACACGAGTTAGATACATGTACTTGTCACTTAAAACACAC